ATCTATCTATCTATCTATCTATCTATCTATCTATCTATCTATCATCTATCTATATCTATCATCTATCTATCTATCATCTGTCTGTCTGTCTGTCTATCTATCATCATCTATCTAGCTATCATCTATCTATTTATATCTATCTATTTATTAAGTAAACACATACTTTAAAAAAACACACATACTTAGCATCCAGGCCTGCAATTCCACTCCCAGATAATTACCCGAGAGAAATGAAAACATATGCTCACTCAAAAAAATGATATGCAAATGTTTATAGCAGCTTTAATCCTAGTTGCCAACCACCGGAAACAACCACAATGTCTTTCAGCTGGTGGCTGAGTACACAGACCCCGGGGCATCCGCACAATGGAATATTATTCAGTCCTGAACAGGGATGAACTACTTGCTACATGCTACCTGCAACAACGTGGATGGGTCTGACACGCATTATGCGAAGCGAAAGCAGCCAGGCTCAGCAGGCTGCATTCTGTATGACTGTTTCTATGATGTTCCAGAAAGGGAAAACTATAGGGACAGGGAACAGATCAGGGAACAGATTGCCAGGGGCTGGGAGTCAGGGAGGAGCTACTCCCCCAGGGGCAGCATCGCCTCGTGTGTTTGGGGAGCGCTGGAACTCCTCTCCATGTCGATGGGGGTTACCCTGACTGCATTTACCAAAACATGTACAGCTGGACACCGAACAATGGAAATTTTACTGTATATAAGTAAGAATAAGTACAGAAAAGCTGTTGTTCCAGATTACAAGGATGGAGACCAGTTAGGAAGTTGCTGAAGTTGTTTAGGCAGGCCCTCACAGCCTCCGATTGGGGACAGTGTCCTTCCGTTCCCCAGAGCACCTGTCCCTCCATTGTCCCCCCTGTAAAGGGACAGTGTACGCTCTTTGAGTTGAACGAGTGAACTTCTTCACGGTCATTCACGGCCACAATGAATTAATGTTTTTCTGCTTCCACCTAATTGTCCTGTGGCCAGGTGAGCAACACCATCAGCGTTTCCATCAGCATCACTGACCAAGGAAGCTGGGTGACTCCCCGTCTGTGCTCTGCCTACGTGACTAATGGCTCATTTGGGGAAGGACTGCACATCTCTTAAATATGTGCCCACTCATTTGAAACAGTGTCCTTGAGGTTCATTGGGCCGAGCAAGATTCACTTAACCCAGGGACGCCCTGTTGGAGAAGTCCTGACAAGAGTGGTGTAAGCGCAGGGTTTGTTTTACCGCCCTTTTATCTACGTGCCATTCAATACATCAAATGCTACATTAACAAGAAAAATCCTGCTTATGCCAAAACACACACACACACCCCGCTTGGCTCTCATGAGAAAGCTTTCCTTCCTTCCAGTTGCTTTGCATGGCCCTGGAAATTCAAAACGTACTTAAGAGTCCTCAGTAAGTGCTGGTCTTAGTGAAACGACTGAAGTCAAAACCGAGGCACTGCCTTAGGAAGCTCAGTTTAGGTTTCAAGGAATTTTGGAAAACCAGGCTCCCGGATTAGAGAGACCATTTATTATCTTTTTCCCCCCTCCTAATTTGATGATAATCTTGAGGGTTCTTGTGATGACCAGCTTTAGAGGTGAAGTCGTGGGGAGAGTAGCCAAGTGAATAATTATTAAAGGTAGACGTTTGGGGAAAGAAGGGTGTCAGAAACGGGTCATACAATCATCGGTGCCTCTCCCCAGTCCCAGCTATGAAGAAGCTTCTTAAGATAACGCGGGGGGCTGTGTGAGGTCTCATCTGCAAAAATCCCAGCTTTCCTGGTTGTTCAGCTAGACACGAGCTGTAGCTCCTCTCTGCCCTGAGAGTCTTAGCCACTGTCTCCAATCCACGTAATTGTTTCCCTTCAGCAGGTGTTGCCTGACCCAGCAAATGGCTCCCCCACCGACCTAGGCACACGGATCAGAAAGGGGGCATGATCCTTGATCACCTCCTCTCCTCTCCTCCCTACTTCTGTCAGCCTCCTAGCCTGCTGGGCCTACCTCCAAAAAGGCCCTCAAATGGGCAGATTCCGATCTACAGGTCAGAGCCACCATCGCCTTCTAATGGAGCCACGCAGTAGCTCCTGGCTGTTCTTTCTGCGTGTTTTCTCTCCTTCCCTTTTCAAATCATCCTTCCCCCTGTAGCCAGAGCAGTCCTTGGGAAACCCAAACCTGCGGGAATCACTGCCTCGCTTAAAACCTTTCGATAGCTTCTCCTGACTTCTGCATCAAGCTCGAACTTGGACTATGACAGAGACAAGCATACTCACCAAGTACCCCCTCTCTTTGCTCCCCCTGTACTCAAGCTGACTTGAAGACACGTAGGGCTCTGTGACTGGTTCCGGCCAACGGGCTGTGAGTGGGACTGACAGGTGTCCCTTCTGAGCCGAGGCATTTGCTGATATACAACCTGCTCCTCCTCACACTTCCCCTGCCACGAAAACTAGGAAGTCCGTGTGTTCCAGTTGGTGCCACTACAAGATGCGCCGGCCTTACTGGTCTGGGTCCCTGCGTGACTCATGTGAGCAGAGCCTCTCACCATTCTGGGTCGAACATATAATGTGGGTGAGAAATAACTTTTTCTTTGTTAAGCCACTGAGATTTTGGGGCTGTTGGTTACCTTGGCATAAACTATTATTAACACAGGATGGTTTGTAAAGCTCTCTGAATCTGTCCCCCATTTATTTCCCTGGCTCCATTTTGGGGTCACTTTTTTACTCTCTAAGCTTCAGCTCTAGTATTCTTTTGGTCCATGGATATATCACAGTTCCTCAGCCTGCAGGACTTTTGCACGTTACCCCCATTCCCTATAACACTCTTTCCTTCATCCTTAGCTACGTAACTCCTAATCATCTGTCAGATCTTGGCTTAAGAGGTATTTGCTGATCCCCAAACCAGAGAAACTGCACATCATATCCTCTCTCTCCACAAAGTTCCCCACTTTATTCTTTGTGTCATTCATCACACTTATAATTGCTTGATTAATGTCTGACTTCACAATCTGAAAGTAGGGACCCTGTCTTGTATCTTTGGAACTTAGCACAGGACCTGACATAGCAGGCGCTCAGTGAAAAAGTAGTCGAATGGCTGAATATATGTTTAGAATGTGGTCACATTGAATGGTTTGTTCTCTAGTTTCTTTCCAAATTACTCTGAGAATCTCCTAAATATTTTTTTTCATTCATTCACTTATTAAGCAATGTTTCTCTTATGGAGTATTTGTTCTGTGTTAGGCGAGGTGTTCAGAGAAGAGATAAATGAGTGTGCAACTGGTTGCTAAGATTTTATGGAGAAAGTGGGTTTCTAGGTGCTCCTTGTTAAATGAGTGAAATTTGAACAGGAGGAGGGAATTGGGTGGCTATGCCTGGTGGGGGCCTCAGCAGGAGATAAAGCGCTGGGAATGAGGCCTTATTAGAGATAGACCAGCCTCTCTGGACCCTTCCTCCTTCCCTCCATTCCATTTTCATCCCTTCGACACTGATGCAGTAGAGGGGGTACAGAAAACCCTGACAGCTGTGCAGCATTCTGGACACAGCCTTCACTTCAGAACCTGGTTTGGTTCTTAGGAATGAAAGAATTGGCTCCATCTCTCCAATCATGCCGCTGTTCTGTTTTCACCCCACTCTCTCCGCTAAGATGGCTGGGAGTATGCCTTTTATTTCTTTTCTTTTTTTTAAGAAAATATGTTTTTATGGATTTTTTTTAGGGAGAGAAGGGAGAGGGAGAGAAACATTGATGAGAGCAAGACATTGATCGCCTGCCTCCTGGACGCCCTCTACTGGCAGCCCTCTACAGGACATGTGCGTGACCGGGAATCGAACTGGCCATTCTTGGTGCATCCGGCGGAGCTCAACCAACTGAGCCACACCAGCCAGGCCCTTTTACTTCTTTCATAGCTCCCCACTGCTTACTTTTACTGCTTTATGGTTTGTAAGCACCCAATAAATGCAGTTAATCAATGAATCTTCTCCTTTAAATTTGTAATGACCTGCTTCAAGCTAGGGTGAGGCTGAAGGCTACAGAGGTTAGGGACTCAGGTCATATTGGATAGAGAGCCTAGCATGTGTTCTTTCTTTCTTTAAAAAACAAGTGATATGTGCTCATTTCAGAAGATTTACAAAATATAAGCCAGCAGAAGAAAATGAAAATCATCTAGAATCTCACCATCCGGTGATCATCACCATTAGTATTTTGGCACATTTCCTTTTAGCCCTTTATCTACTAATATATACACACATATATTTATAGGGCTAGTTTTATATAGTTCAATTTGTTTCTTTTTATTGTGGCGAGAACCATGGAACATAAAATTTGTCATATGACCAATTTTTAAGTGTACAGTTCAGTAGTGTTAAGTATATTCACATTGTTGTGAAACAGATCTCCAGAACTTTTTCTTCTTCTAAATCTGAAACTCCATACCCATTAAACTTTATTTTTTTTAAATATTTTTTTAAATTGATTTCAGAGATAGGAAGGGAGAGGGAGAGAGAGATAGAAACATCAATGATGAGAGAGTCACTGATCAGCTGCCTCCTGCACACCCCCAACTGGGGATCGAACCTACAACCCAGGAATGTGCCCTGACCAGGAATCGAACCTTGATCTCCTGGATACTAGGTCAATGCTCAACTGCTGAGCCAAGCTGGCCGGGCCATTAAACTTTATTTTACTTAATAAATCATAAACATTTTTCCATAATACCAAATACTCCATGATACTGAATATTCTTCTCCAATATTATTTTTAATAAGTATATATATTTCCATCACCATTATTTTTATTTTTTACTTTATTTTATTTTTTTAAAAAATATATCTTTACTGATTTCAGAGAGAGGAAGGGAGAGGGAAAGAGAGAGGCAGAAACATCAATGATGAGAGAGTCATTGATCGGCTGCCTCCTGCCGCCCCCACTGGGGATCGAACCTACAGCCCGGGTGTGTGCCCTGACCAGGAATCAAACCTCGATCTCCAGGATCCTAGGTCGATGCTCAACCACTGAGCCATGCTGGCTGGGCATCACCATTATTTTTAAAAACTAAACCTAATTGTTGTTTTTTTAGATTATTTCAGGTTTTGTTTTGTTTTGTTTTTACCATTACACACAACGCTACAGTGAATACTTTCGCACATCCTATACATATATCTCTGCATTTGTTTGAATGTTACCTTACCATAAACTCTCAGATGTGGAATTGCTGACTCAAAGGAGATGAACATTTTTAACATTCTCGATATGAGTTTCAGTTTGAATATGAGAGATTACACCAGTTCCCATTCCTATCAGCAGAGTGAAAGGCCCCTTGCCCCACACTCTTCCCAGAACTGGATACTATCATCTGGCATCTTTTCTTTAGGGACTTTAGTTAGTTCTGAATACACCTCAGATCAAATAGAAATCGCCCTCAGGAATCACTGCGGCGCATGCGTCTTTCTGGGAAGCTTGAAACAGATGTAGGCTTAATACTCACGCACCTCAACAAACAAGATTGGGAAGATGCCTATTTTGTCTCCCAACTTTCCTTCTGCCCAGTTCTCATCCACTCGGCTGATCACAGTGATGATGTCATCCTGAAAGAGAAAAAGTCCCATGGTCAGCATTTATTCGCAGTTTTCAGGTGGCTAAATCTTGCAGCGGACATCAGCTTGGAGTCCCAGGTGGTACAAGGTGCAAGGAATGTGGTTCGTTCATGACTTATTTACAGAATTTTCCTGCTAAATGATCTTTCTCCGTAAAGGGCCAGATTTGGATCACAAAGACACATGAGAAATAGCAATAATTTGAAGGGTCAATGGACTCCAAAGGAAAACTTAGAAATGTTTCTAATTTTCAATCACCAGCAGGATCGGGGCTTTTCATTTAAATTAATCTGATGAGGATATCAGGATGAAAGTCACAGGGAGACAGACTTTTATTTTAACAAAAGGAAGAATGAATTTCATTCTGATTTCGAAGACCTCTCAGAACCCATCAATATTTCATGTATCAAATGTAAAGTGCCTTTTAATTCAAAATTTTCTTATTATGAAAGGTTATATGTAGATTTGTAGAAACATTTGAAAACACAGATAAGCAAAACAAAGAAAAAAATTCTACCACAATATAGGTACAACCACTGTAAGCACCTTGGTTAATACCTTTTTTCCAGATTCTTTTCTATGAAGAGAAAACATATATACATGTGTCTATAAACATGCTAATTTTAAAAATCTTTTCCAAAAAAATACACAAATGAATGTAATAAAGTACATACATGTTAGATGTATAACTTGATGAATTTTTATGTGGACTCTGTCCGACCCTCATCCAGATCAAGAGTTACAGAACACTCCAGTATCCAGAAGGCTCCTTCGTACCCTTTCCTATCGCCCAGCAAGAGGTAACCACCCTTCTGACTCCTGGTGTTTACGTTCATTTTGCCTATTTTTGTACTTCGCACAAATGTAGGACACATTGATTTTGCACTTAATACCCCATCAGGGGCACCTTTCACATCTATACCTGGTCACCAATCTAAACCTGAATAGTCATCACTGATCTCTTTGACCTTCTGATCCATGCCCCTGGGTAATTTAAATGAGTCTAAATCTAAATCCATTTACTGCACTGTATCTTTTCTTAACCTTTCTGTCCTTATTACAATTTGCAACTACGCTTTTAGAGGTTATTGCCTCTTTGATGCCTACCCACCCCATCAGAACGCAGACTCCACGTGTGCACGGCCTATGTCTGTTTTGCCCAGTTCCATGCCCCCAGCACCTAATGCGGGGGCACCCCCTTCGGGAGTCATCCAAGACATATTTCTTGAATGTGCAAATGCATGAGTAATGACTGTGTGAATAAATGGTACAATGTAATGGTTTGGAAAACACCAGGGAAGGATCACGGGTTTAATTTGGATACGCTGAGTTCAGAAAGAGCAGACTAGCGCAGACTCAGCCTCCCATACCCCTCCAGAATGGATCGAATCCTGTCTTCTGGATCCTTGTCATAATTTCCCACTTATATGCCTGTTCCTTCCACTAGACTGCTGGCTCTGTGAAGGCAGGGACAGTGACTCGTCACTTTGTCCCCAGTGGTCAGCTTGGCACATGGATGGGCTCACTGAATGAATGAGCTGGTAGAGTAAGTGTCCCAGTGTGCGAATTCCCAGAGAGGGGGAACCCCCCCCAAAAAACCACCCAAAACATAATGCTCCGTGCCTATGTCTTCCTCCAGCTGTGTCCCCAGAGCTCAGTATCTAAATACTGAAAAAATGCTTCTGGAATTGAACTGTCCTTCCCCTGACTGCGATTGAAATATAGACTTTGCAGTTTGGGCTACAGAATGACCTTCCTCAGGGCACTCACTTGGAGGTGCCAAGACAAGAATGATCAGTATTTCAGAGTGTGGAGGGCAGTGAGGTTATCTAGGAGGAGGGACTGGAGAAAATCTCATTTCTGGCAGCAGTGGGATAAAAATCTTTTACAGAACAGAAGACCTTTCCTGAGCCACCTTAATGGTGCCACTTCTTATATGTGATTTGACATAAGCAGCAAAGAATGAAAATCACCCCAACTATGGTTTCTATGAGAAAATGTGAATGTTTAAGGAATGATAAATACTAGACACAGAATTAAAGTCGTCTAGACTTTAGGAGAGGTATGGAGGCAAAAAACTTTAGGGTAGTTAATGTCCTTGGAAAATATGTCTTGTGAGAGGTTAGTTATCTATACAAAGGTATAATTATATTATGGTGTGTGTTTGGAGTGTTTTGAATGCGGCTTTTACAGCAAAACACTGTTGAAAATGAGAAGAATTAGGTGATAAGCACTTGGTCAGCAAGGCTGCCTTACAGGTACATGATAAAGAAGTAAGGACTAGTTTTGCAAGCAGGCTATCAACTTGTGTCTGTAATTTTCTGCCCCCGTGTCTGTTCCTCCCACTACTCTGTCTGAGGGCAGGGACTGGGACTCATTCAGGCTGTAGCCCCAGTGCCTGCAAAGAAGAGGTGCTCAAAGTGACTGTAGAATGAATGAATGAATGAATGAACGAATGAATGAACTAACGAATGAATGTGTAAATGCTTATTTTTGTTACTGCAATAGAAAAGGCTTAAGGGTTTCTATAAAATTGCTATTAGTAGATTTCTCTAGTGTAGTTTAAATTATACACACATATTACATGAATAAGCACCTATGTGTATTCACACATACATACATATATACGCTCATGTATAAAATAGATATAGTTGAAAAAAATAAGCAAATATTAAACAAACAACTCCGGGTCCTGCCGCAGTCTCCGCGCGGTCCCCAGTCGCGTCGGCGGCCGCCCGGAAGCCCACCTTGAGGAAGGTCAGGCAGTCTTGGCTGTCGCTCTTGTCCTTCCGCAGGTCGAAGTTGTAGAGGGCCCGGCACAGTGGGGGCGGCTGGGGCAGCTGCTTGATGACTGCCACCGAGCTGGCTGGGAGGAAGCCGCTGACCCCGTTGACCTCCCCCTGGTACCAGTTCTCGTCCAGCTGTCTCCGCAGGAGGATGACATCTCCCTTGTTAAAGCTCAGGTCGCCGGGGTTCTGCCCTCGGTAGTTGCATAAGGCCTTCGCTCGAGGCACCTGCCAAGAAAACATGCGCTTGGCTTAGAGGCTGGAGGGACAGGATGAATCATATTAATAATCACCTACGGAGGGCTCCCGGTGTGCTAAGTGCTGAAGGCGGATCGCCCCGCGGGTCTGTAAACACCGAATGCAAGGTTGACAGCCAAGGAGGCTGCTGCGAACGGGTAGAATTAGGTGGCGAATTACATGCAGAATCACATGGTGGAATTATACGATCTGTGGGGCGTATCTTTGGGATGGGCTCTAATCATCCCCGTTTCTAAGTCGGGCGACTGAGGCACAGAGTGGTTTAATGACTTGCCTGAGGTGACACAGTTGGGAAATGGCCACCTGATTTTAGAGCGCCTGTGCTCAACTACTGTGCAGGGAACAGGACCTGGGACTTAATTCCACAACTACACGCCCTTGAGTGAGTCGGTGACTCCGGGGCCTGGATACTGATTTTGAGTTCTGGCGCCACCTCTTTTCCCTGTGTGACCATGGTCAAGTTATTTAGTCTTTCGTAAAGCATATTCACGTATAAAATGGGGTAATAATAGAATACCCCTCCCCCCGATTAGCGTCGTTGTGAGGAGTAAGAAATATTCATAATACTTTTAGCTTGTTGCTTGGTACGTAGTATGTGCTCAATAAACGACCTCTCTTATTATCATCACATATAATGGAGGGCTTATGACACCAATTCTATATACTCCTCAGTATCGATGGGAGGAAAACTGGGCTGAAAACTCCGCGAAAATAGAAATTGTTACATGAGGGTGAATCAACGTAACACGTCTTCAGCGTTCTCTAGAAACTGTAAACCTCACGAGTGTTGGCATCATTAGGAAGTGCAACTGACACACATCATTAGTCAGAAATCAATCATCAATTAAAAAAATTTAGCTAAAGTATCATCATTGGTCAAATCTGTTGTCCGTCTAAATAATTACTTCAGTCAAATGCATTTTTTTTCCCCCCGAATCAAAACGGTTTCTGCACGCAGAAATAGCCTCGCTCTGGTCTCCTTGAAGTCAGCCTGGCAAAGTGAGAGTTCTAATAACTTAGGTTTAATAGAAAGCCCGTCCGTGGCACCTGGGACTGTGTTTTATTTTGTGCTTTTCTCAGCACTAGGGTGAAACAAGACTCCTGGGGGCAGTCTTGCTATTCGTAAGGGGGTGTAAGAAGGCATTAATTCAGTTCTTCACGGACCTCCTGAGTCTGCTGTGTTCGTTTGAAAAGGAATTTCAAGCAGCTTAGGGGTAGAGACAAGACCTGAACAGCATCGTCTTGCTGATGGATGGCAGAGCAAGCTCTTCTGCCGGTCCCTGGATACAGGAGGGGGAGCCCAAAGGGGTAGGAAACTAGGGGAACCCAGCTCACCCACAGGAAACCAGCGAGCAGAGGTGTGCGTGCTAGGAGGTTTACTTAGTACAGTGCCGTGGATAAGTGGAATTGGCTGAATAAATTATGATGCACCCATACAATGGGCACCCTGTGGTTATTAAAATTGATGATGCTGATCTATAATTAATAACACTGAGTTACTCATAATATACTGTTAAGTATAACAGAAGAGATTAAAACAGTTGTGTAGACTAGGCTTTCATTATAAATGAAATCTATAAATATCTATCTATCATCGATCTATCTATCTATTATCTATCTATCTATCTATCTATCATCTATCTATCTATCTATCTATCTATCTATCTATCTATCTATC